CACAAAACAGAAGTGATGTGGGTCAGTAACTGCAAAGCAGTGCAGCGGGCAGAAATCACCGCTAAACTTCAACAGCCACATCGAGTATGCTTACGAGAAGGCGGCGAAGCCCAAGTAACAATTGTGGTTTTATGAGGGTTCTGTAGACCATGATTTAGACTTGTAGAATGCTTTCAAACCTCTATAAAACTTGCAATGTTACTTGGGAGTTCATCAACGCAATAGCCAGAATCATGCCGAACAATTCTGGTCCAAGCAGCAGCAAGACCCAACAAACAATCGTCTATTGAAGAAACGACTTCTTGGCCTTTTTTATTCAACTGCATGCTTAATAGTACTTGTACTATTTTTAATAATAACTTCTGTTCAGGCTTTGTTTACACAAATCTGGAGAATTTATTCAACCTCAACATTGAACTACTGGTGTTGTATAAGGTATGTCGAGAAGCTTTTATTCGACTTATATGAGTTGTAATAGAGTTTATACGATAACATTTTTGATTATTCAGCGTTTATTAGACATCACTGAGGCTTCCTTAAAACAGTGATGCTCTGTATACGCTTGATTGAAGCTCTATACTACATGTGAAGTAACGTTTAATTAGACATTATAATACATTTATTAAACGATTATTCAACTGTGGGACAATTAACCCGAAAATAATAGGACAGAGGACAGGGACAGGGGAAGGGTGTGTGTGTGTGTGTTTCCTTAAGTGTATTGAATTTCAATATTTCTGACGTGGGCTTGCACCACACAGATATTAGAAAATTTATTAAATACTTATACATGCCGCCGTTGTATGGGATTTGAACCATGTACCTTCCGATCACCAGCCGATTGCTTTGTCATCTGAGCTATCCTAGAATTCATCATATGGGCAACTCAATAATCTATAAAAGCTTGCATGAAAGTAAATACTTATCAGCACTCGCGATCGCAACTCTAGCTCCTTCAAGGCCCTGTGGGAATGATTAATTCATTCATCGTTGTTTTAAATGAGACCAATGTTGTCTCTTCACATCTTCAAGTCGAAAGAAAGGATGCTCGGTTATATTTTAAACTAGATCAATGCATTCATTATCGTGAGTCATGTGATCGATATTACTATTTAAATTAATTATGTTCTACACAAATAAAAAAAAAGGTTGACCTTGGATTTGAACTCACGACCTTCTAAATTGGAAAGCGGAAACGGTAACCACTACTCTACTGATTTCGCCTTGTTGTAAGATTGAATCAGTTTTGTCGAATAATGAATCTAATACATAAACGACGCATTTACAAATCATGTGATTACAACATGGACGCATAGTGGTATAAGAGCTATTATGCTGACTGTATTCACCTTTATTCAGCAATATTTTAAAGTAATGCAATGAAATCTAATAAAGGAGCTGGAGAACATTTATTAGACGTCTAATAAAGCATGTTATTAAATCAATTGAAAACAGTCGAATTAAAGTGTCAATGTATGTACAAATTACACTTATCCAGTTTGTTATTAGATCGAACTTCTGGCGTTGAATTAGGAAGACATTCAACACTTTTACAGCTTTTAATAAGTAAATTAATCAGATCAGAGTGGAACAATGGGCTTTTTCAGCACATAATTCGACAACTCTTTTTATTCAGCATTGTACACTGTTATACAGCATTTATTCAATATATATGCTTATTTGTGACTTTGAATTGTTTGTTGGGTGGTATAAGAGCTATTTTGCTGAGTGTGTTCACCTTTATACAGCAATATTGTAAAACAATGCAATGAAATCTAATAATGGAGCTAGAAAACATTTATAAGACGTTTAATAAAGCATTTTATTCAATCAATTGACAACAGTCGAATAAAAGCGACAATGTATGTGCAAATTACACTTATTCAGTTGGTTATTCGATCAACCTTCTGGTTCTGAATAAGGAAGACAGTCAACGTTTATAAAGCTTTTAATAAGGAAATTAATCATATCAGAGCAAACGGTGGAATAAAAGCGCATCTATCGATCTCAATGAGCTTTTTTCAGCACATAATTCGACATCCTGTTTTATTCAGCATTATACACTGTTATACAGCATTTATTCAATGTGTATGCTTATTTGTGACTTTGAATTGTTAGTTGGGGAGGCGTCTTCTAGCTAGTGTGTCCTCATCGATAGTAAGGTACGGAGGTCCAGCTGAAGTGCTGAAAACGAAGGAAATTGAGCAGTAGGTTCCGGCTCATGGCCATGCGAGTCGTGAGTGCTAACAGAACCATTTAGATGGAGGCAGTATGCGTTATCGCCGGTATGATCCCAATCGGCATCACCTTGATGGAGGACTACGAGTGCTATATGACGAGAGAAACCAGAGGAGTACGAAAAATTGTGAGAACGGTGTCGATGGCTAAAGGGTGATACGGTCAAAATTTGGTCAAGGGAAAACGCGTGTAAATCGGTGAAATCGTTTATTTAAAAAATCAAATTAAATTTCTTTTTCAAGTTCAATTAGTATAAAATTCAAGAAAAATATTCAGTTAGGCTTCCGCTTTTCCAAATCCGAATTGCCGGGCCTTACGCTTGACCCCTGCCATCAGATTTTGTACAGCCACCTTGTTCACCTTCTTCGCCGCAGAAAGCCAGTTTGCCTTGAACTGCTGCTCGCCCTTAGCAGTTTTTTGGTCTTCTTTAGGTTCCGCTTGACAATAGCCCAGTATTTCTCAATTGGGCGGAGCTCTGGCGTGTTGGGAGGGTTCTTGTCCTTGGGAACCACCTGCACGTTGTTGGCGGCGTACCACTCCATGGCCTTTTTACCGTAATGGCAAGATGCCAAATCCGGCCAAAACAGTACGGAACAACCGTGTTTCTTCAGGAAAGGCAGCAGACGTTTATTCAAACACTCTTTCACGTAAATTTCTTGGTTGACAGTCCCGGAAGCTATGAAAATGCTGCTTTTCAAGCCACAGGTACAGATGGCTTGCCAAACCAGATATTTCGTTGCGAACTTTGACAGTTTCATGTGCTTGAAAACATCTGCTACCTTTCCCCTTCCTTTTGCCGTATAAAACTCCTGTCCCGGAAGCTGCTTGTAGTCGGCTTTGACGCAGGTTTCGTCGTCCATTACCACGCAGTCAAACTTCGTCAGCATCGTCGTGTACAGCCTCCGGGATCGCGCTTTGGCCGTCGTATTTTATTTATCATCGCGATTTGGAGTCACTACCTTCTTGTAAGTCGATAGTCCGGCTCGTTTTTTGGCTCGATGCACGGTTGTAGACGATACACCCAGCTTATTTGCGGCATCTCGGAGAGAGAGGTTAGGGTTTCGCTTGAAACTACCGGCAACTCTCTTTGTCGTCTCAGCGGCTTCCGGTTTTCGATTTCCCCCCGATCCAGACTTCCTGGCTGTCGACAAACGTTCCCCAAACACTTTAATTACATTTGTAACGGTTGATTTGGCAACGTTTAGCGATTTTGCCAACTTTGCGTGCGAGTAGCTCGGATTTTCGCGATGCGCGAGCAAAATTTTGATACGCTGCTCTTCTTGCTTGGACGGCATTTTGACAACTGAAGAGTGAATTCCAAAATCAAAATAGGAGCAACATTCTACACACACACACCTTCAAAATGAGGGGTGTTCAGGTTTTTTAAATGCAAAATTGAAAGAAATACGTCAAGTTGATATTGACCAAATTTTGACCGTATCACCCTTTAAGTGGCAGCAAGAGTGGGATGCAGCAGAGAACGGTAGATGAACACACAGGCTAATACCGATTCTTTCGACCTGGGTGAACAAGAAGCATGGAGAAGTCAATTTCCATTTGACGCAGTTCCTGTCTGGTGATGGCTGCTTCAGGAAGTACCTGAATCGGTTCGGACACACAATGTCACCCTTCTGTCCGGAGTGTGGGAATGTGGAAGAATCACTAAAGCAGGTGGTCTTTGAATGTCCTACATTTGATGCTGTGCGAGAGGAGATGCTCGCCCTTAGTGTCGAAAGGAGGGCACCTTTAACGCCGTCAGCAGAGCAGTAACGCAAATCATGTCAGCGCTGCAGCGAAAATGGCGAGAGGACCAGCTAGAAAGTAGTGCGAAGTTAAAGCCGAAGCCGAGAGAACTCTCCGTCAGTGTAGGCTTAATCCACCACCGGGCTTAACCGAGTAGAACGCGACGGTGGGAGCTAAATGGCTCACAAATTGGAGAGACGATCAGCGAACTGGAAGCGCCAATTAGCTGAGGTAAAGTGAGGTGCGTAATGCACGGCCCCCTGCGAAGTAATACGACAAGTGGTTCTGGAGGAAAAGGGCAAGGCGTCCAAGGAGGTTTTAGTGCGGTAAGAATCCCACACACCGTTTCACCACGCCTGTGCGCCCAGTCGTCAAGCGGTGGCAGGATGGCCTTTTGAAGGCTTCCTCCTTGCAAAAAAAAAACACACACACACACTGAATTTTCAAACACCATATCAAGTGTTATACAAAATATTTTGCTACAACAGATAGAAAATGCTATTGACGATAAAAACGATAAGAGATAAAAATCGTGGTACATGCCTAATGAGATCAACCCAAATTTGAGTTCAGTTTACTCATAATTGCAAAAAGTGCAAGAACTCAACGATGAATAAATTTACCTCATGTTTTCCTGTGGAAAACCTAAATAATCTGCCGAAAATGAGGAAAATTTACTTCCCAAGAATCGACTCCAATTTACGAAAATTTTACTCAGGCAAGGAGTAGTACCAATAGACTGAGAGAATCCAATTTGTACTTTTGTCATATTCGGGAATTTTTTCCTGGATAAACATTTACTAAGATTTACTCATTGCTCAGTTCCTGCACTTTTTGCGATTTATGAATAAACTGAATTCAAATTTGGGTTGATCTCATTGGGCGTGTATTATTGTTTAAAAAACAAAACAATAAATCAAAACGCAGTAGTTCTAGTTAACAGTTTTATTTTTGTGTTAGGAATAACAACTTAAAAAGTATCCTTTTACTGTAATATGAAGAATTAATAGTCCTGTAATTGAAAGCGAAAAATGTATTATAAAAATATTAAAACTCAAAATAAAAACAAACATCATCCAGCTATAAAACAAAATATGATGCGTGCGATTGACTTAGCAGAGGATATAGCCTAAAATGGAACACGAAACACAACTGACGTTAATAGAAATATAAGGAATGACGATCCTTTAGTTTGCTAGTTTCCAACAACTATTCTTTGACTTTCAATATCATTATGCGTAACAACTTTTGTTCTAGATTAAACCTTAGACGGCATTAACTGTATGACACCAACTGTTCTGTTTTCTAGAACTATACCAACAACTTGACTCTATTTTATTTGCTTTGCTTTGCAATGTCTTCCCCAGTCTAAATAATTTGACTTGTAACACTTAGGTTTTGTATTTCTTTCGAGTATCGTAATTAATAACAATCCAAAACGCCTACAAACAGACTACTCAAAACTCGGTTAGGTGTCTAGTAAAGCACTAACAACATACTCGGGCGAGGGTTTCTCCGCCGTCCGATGCACCGTGTAACCTTTGTTCTCGATTGCTTTTTTCGTGCTCGGTCCGATGGCTACGATCCGACAGGCACCGACGTCCAGCTTGTGTCGCTCAAAGACACTAGCGCAATAGTTAATTCCTGAGGGACTGAAAAAGAGCAGATACTCCGGTCGAGCAGTGGCCGCCCGAAACAGATCCAACAGATTCCGTTCCAGATCCTGGTGCGGCACGGTTTCGTATACTTCGACACAATCCAGAGAATAACCATACTCGGACAGTTTGTTCTGGAGTACGTCTTGCTTGAGATTCCCGCAAGGGAACAGGAACGGGAGCGTCACTGTTTTGTTGTAAAGATCCGTTTTGATGAAATCCGCTAAATCGCTTGCATTTCCGGAATGCTGTCCTTTGGTGTCCAGGTCGAGTGAGCGCTGAATGAGTTCCGAGCTAGTTTCACCGACCGAATAGTTTTCCAGTGGTTTCCAGTCGTCTTTCAAGCGGTTCCCTTCAAGGGCATCCCGGACGGCCGTGATGGCTCGCGGACTGGTGAATATTAGACCAGAATACTTGTACGGGGACAACAATCGGTCCCGTAGGATGTCCAGGTTTTTAAAACAAAAATCCAACGTTGGCACAAATATCGGCTCGAAGCCGTGTTTTTCTAGCAGAGCCAAGTAGGTTTCACTGTTTTCACTCTCGGATTTAAGGATTATCACTTTCTTCATGGCTTGGTTGAAATTGTACGGCAAGAAACGGTTGTAAATTTATATAAAATTAAATTTGGTGATTGAGATCAGAGCACTTTTGCTGTTATCGATGTTTTTTGTTTTTATTTTCTGGTGCACTTTCTGTCTCTCGCTCTCTGTCCGCCAGCTGTCAAACGACGTGTTTCACTTGCTGCACAGTTTTTGTTTGAATCTCATGTCTAGATGGCAGGTAAGTAGAAAATGAGATTTGACCGCTTGGACCCAATAGCGCTGCATCGATGAATAAAATAAGGATTGTTTCCGAAAACAAATAAAGACGCATACAAACAATTGGTTTTCCCAAGGTAATTTCCATATGAACATCAAATGGTTTGTGCAAAGTCAGTTTCTTACTAAATGAGTTAAAATTTTGGGAGGCTAATCGGAACCCAATTCGGAACTTTAATAAGTATTATTTTCGAGGGGCACGCCGTTCCAGATATAAGTGCAATATGCGGTATTTAAAATACATCATAGTAATTTAAATACTTTGAAAACAGTAATAATTTGAATTTAAATACTTTTAGCGGTATTGAAAGTTATTTACTATAATTTATGTAATGACAAATAATTTAACTATTTTGAAATATAATTATATATAAAATTTTGTTAGTAATTAAAGTATTTATTGAAATTAAAAGTGAATTTAAAGAATTTAATGCAGTAATGGCAAGATTTTAAATATTTGGTCTGCAGGTTGTGTTGTATTGAAAGTCTAGTTTTAAGCGAGGTTTTAAGTGGGGAAGTTGGCGTTGGTGGCGCGTAATTCAAATAGGAATCTTTACACATGTTTTTACAAAAATTTAGTTCGAGCCGCAACGTCTGTTCTCTGTAATTAAAACTACTGAAATAAGTAATAAACACTAATAGGTATTCATTTCAAGGTTGCAAAGACTCATTTCAGCTAAAATAATGTTTTTCGGAATAATAAAACCAAAAGATGGTATGATGGCATGTTTTACTTGTAACTTACAAGAAGAGGTTACAAAGTAAGCGTTGGAAACATAAAACCTGTAAATTTTGCTTTCTATGAGTCACAATCAGCGATTTGCTGATCGCTGAGTGAGTGAGTGATTTTTTTTTTTTTTTTTTTTTTTTTCTTTATTATAGAGATTTTTAGCCTGAGGCTAGTTCATCTCTTAGTGAGTGAGTGAGTGAGTGAGTGAGTTTGTGAAAAAATCGCTGATTGTGACTCTCATGAAGTGAAATAAACAGGTTTAATATGTCAAACACATTCTTTGCAACCTCTTCTTGTATCCTACCAATTCAAAATTTGATCATTGCATCTAATTATTTCATAATTTAGAAAAACATTGTTTTAGCTGAAATGAGTCTTTGCAACCTTGATTCATTTGTGTGTAATAAATACTCATAAATGGAATCATTTAATGGGTTGTCCCAATCTTCTTCGATAATGCTTACTTTGTAGTCAATATAGAGTTTGTATAGTCATTATTGGGTATTTAGCGGTTTCCGTGTAAGACAGAAATAGAGTGATCGCGTTGTTTTTGATCATTTGATCCTTATAACTTTGTTATTTGCGGAGATGGAATGTTGGTTACTTCTAACATAATGCATTCATTTCAATCTTCAAAATAATAAAACAAAAATATATTTATATATTGTTAAACATTTTTTTATAGTACGTTCAAACTACAGAGTTATAACAACAATCAATACGAAACTAACGATTTTAAATTGGCTCACTACTTGACTAGCCTATTGGTCCCATGCAAACGATTAACGTACCCCATTCTAGTCGAAATTCTAGTACTACACTATGTTTGTTTTGATTCGCTATGAAAGTATGACAGATAAAATGAGGGGTTATTGGTTTTTCCTATGTTTCGAGGGGTGAATCGATTAGCTTGGGACCGAAGAGAGTACCAGAGCTGAGCCAAAAAGTTGAGCACGTCATTTCGGGACCTTCTAGTCTTAGAGTTACCTCTATGCTAATAGCTTTTGGTTCACCTCTGGTACTATCTTCGGTCCCAAGCTTGTCGAATCACCCCTCGAAACATAGGTAAAACCAATAACCCCTCATTTTATCTGTCAAACTTTCATAGCGAATCAAAACAAACATTGCGTAGTACTAGAATTTCGACTAGAATAGGGTACGTTATTCGTTTGCTTGGGACCAATAGGCTACTAAAGTAGTGAGCCAATTTAAAATCGTTAGTTTCGTATTGATTGTTGCTAATAGCATAGAGGTAACTCTAAGACCACTGGGTCCCGAAGAAAATCATTATTATTTTTGGCTCACTCAGTACCAGAACAACAGTCCCAAGCAGTCCCAAGCTATTTCACTCACCCCTGCATGTTCTGCATGAATCCACACACCCCTGATGTTATCTGTCAAACTTTCATAGCGAATCAAAACATACATAGTGTAGTAATAGAATTTCAACTAGAATAGGGTACGTTAATCGTTTGCTTGGGACCAATAGGCTACTAAAGTGGTGAGCCAATTTAAAATCGTTAGTTTCGTATTGATTGTTGCTAATAGTGCGTTCAGACTACAGAGCTATAACAACAATCAATACGAAACTAACGATTTTAAATTAGCTCACTTCTTGACTAGCCTATTGGTCTCAAGCAAACGATTAACGTTTCTCATTCTAGTCAAAATTCTAGTACTACACTATGTTTGTTTTGATTTGCTATGAAAGTTTGACAGATAAAATGAGGGGTTAATGGATTTTCCTATGTTTCGAGGGGTGCATCGATTAGCTTGGGACCGAAGATAGTACCAGAGCTGAGCCAAAAAATGTAGCACGTATCTTCGGGACCTTCTGGTCTTAGAGTTACCTCTATGGTTATAACATGTTATAACGGTTGTCAAATAGTTGCAACACAGAAACCACCATCAAGATAGCGCTATAACATGTTATAACCATAGAAGCACAGACAAACAGACATAACACTAGCAAGTTGTTCATCGAACAAGCATTTAACGGTCAATTTAAAAGTATCGTAGTTGGTAGCACCGCCACCTGTGGCGCGCATAGTCAATTCCCTTGCGTTTGACGTTTACACACTACCGCCATCTGTTCAGTGTACTACCCACCGCAGTGTACTCAACAGATGGCGGTAATGTTTTAGCGACGATGTTTTACAATGAGAAAAATTCAATGTGTTATGTCTGTTTGTCTGTGATAGAAGTAACTCTAAGACTAGAAGGTCCCGAAATAACGTGCTCAACTTTTTGACTCAGCTCTGGTACTCTCTTCGGTCCCAAGCTAATCGATGCACCCCTCGAAACATAGGAAAATCCACTAATCCCTAATTTTATCTGTCAAACTTTCATAGCGAATCAAAACAAACATTGCGTAGTACTAGAATTTCGACTAGAATGGGGTACGTTAATCGTTTGCTTGGGACCAATAGGCTAGTCAAGTAGTGAGCCAATTTAAAATCGTTAGTTTCGTATTGATTGTTGTTATAACTCTGTAGTCTCAACGTACTATAAGACTAGTAGGTCCCGAAGAAACGTGCTCAACTTTTTGCCTCAGCCGTGGTACCATAGAGGTTACTCTAAGACCACTGGGTCCCGAAGAAAATCATTATTATTTTTGGCTCACTCAGTACCAGAACAACGGTCCCAAGCAGTCCCAAGCTATTTCACTCACCCCTGCATGTTCTGCATGAATCCACACACCCCTGATGTTATCTGTCAAACTTTCATAGCGAATCAAAACAAACATAGTGTTGTAATAGAATTTCAACTAGAATAGGGTACGTTAATCGTTTGCTTGGGACCAATATGCTACTAAAGTGGTGAGCCAATTTAAAATCGTTAGTTTCGTATTGATTGTTGGTGGTTCTATCTTCGGTCTCAAGCTAATCGATTCACGCCTCGAAACATAGGAAAGTCCACTAACCCCTCATTTTATCTGTCAAAATTTCATAGCGAATCAAAACAAACATAGTGTAGTACTAGAATTTTGACTAGAATGGGGTACGTATTTGCTGATGATGGGTCGATAGGTAGGGTCCAGGTGTGGGAGTTGCCTTCCTGGCGTCGGTAGCATTGGTGCTCAGCACGAAAACAAGATCGACGGAAAACAAATCATGAAAAAAAACGCAATGGTGACGTAGGAGTAGGGTTAACTACCCCATTTCCGGCCTATTAAGCACAACCCGCACTTAGTCTTTCTTAATCTAGCGCAGTTTAGCACCAAACGGAATGTTATAATTACTGATGGCTTCCAACTTAATTTAGCTTTCCGTATGTACCGTAAGATTTGATAAAGAGAAACCAATCGTTGAGATATTGTCAAAAGTCTAAGACTGTTTCTTGACGCCAAACTTGGCCTATGGATTCTTAACTCGGCCTAACGCATTGAAACGCCATTGAAAGGCCAATGAATTCACTTCGGCCTATCGGATAAAGATAAAATTTTATTCGGTCGGAGCGCTTCTTTTCTTTTTGGGAATAATGGGTGCAAACCTTCATATCACGCGTTCTCATTGACTTCGTTCCGTAGCTTATTAATTAAAGCATCGTACCAAACGCATAATTGAATTGTTAACTCTGAAACAATGGATTTATTAGAAGTTTTCTGCTCGATAGGCCCAAAATGGGCGATTAGGCCGAAGTAGTTCTCTACCCTACGTGGTCTTATATAATAAATCTTATTTGTTAACTGCATCAGGAGCTTGAGTTTTGTGTAGGAATAGGAATTTGAGCAACTCTCTCTCTGTTTATACTCTTTAGTATGACGCGCTTGACATAGATGGCCCACAGCAACTCACGAAGAGCTACTGATCCCGACCAATAGCGGTGCGGCTTCATCCTCCTTCTATGGATGCTCATGTGGGCTGCAGAGCGCTGCTAGCAGACAGCCTTTCGTTGTGTATTTGAGAACACCACTCCTCACCACGCGGTGATTGAATAAACAACGTTTGGTGAGACCGGATGAAATTCAACTGTGAACTCTGTGTTAGGGAAATCGCTTTTCGCAGGCAATCGGTGATAATTTTAATTATAAAAGCAACAGTTGTATCATGGAGGTAAATCTATGATGACCGAAAAAACATGCTCAACTTTTTTGCTCAGCTCTGGTACTCTCTTCGGTCCCAAGCTAATCGATGCACCCCTCGAAACATAGGAAAATCCACGAACCCCTAATTTTATCTGCCAAATTTTCAAAGCGAATCAAAACAAACATAATGTAGTACTAGAATTTCGACTAGAATAGGGTACGTTATTCGATTTGCTTGGGACCAATAGGCTAGTCAAGTAGTGACCCAATTTAAAATCGTTAGTTTCCACCGGTTGGTTGCATATTCCTGCAATTTTGAATGGTGAGTCTTAACTTTAACAGATGCGTAGAAATATTTCTGATCGATTGGTGATAAAATTGTTGAAATCGGTCCAGGGGCAGCTGAGTTATTTATTCAAAATCTTTCATAATTTTGTTACATGTTCCATTTTTGGTTTTCACAAAGTGTACCCCCATATAGAAATCACAGACGTAGTCCTACGTCAAAAAATGGATGAAGATTATAACCAAAGTATTCCAGTATTATGATTGATAAATATGCTAGGTATTGTATGGTATGCATCCAAAGACGATATAGGAAAGACGTATTTTATGGGAGACCCTCTTTATTATTGATTTCGAGTGGCTTAGAGTGGTGGAATTAGTACGATTTAGTGCAATAATATTAAGGAATATATTAATTACATCTGATTTGTATGATTTTAAGTTAATCTCCAGAGGGCGACCTCTGCGTAGTGGTTAGAATCCATACCTCTCACGTCAAAGTCACGAGTTCAAATCTCACCCCCTGACAAGTCACGAATGACCCAAGAGCGTTAAAGTGACTATAATAATAAAAAAAAAAGTTAATTTCCACCACTAAAAAATCACTAATTTTCAACATTTGAACAAAGAAATCAGATGAGGCCATACACATAATATACGCATAAATATGTCGAACTAAGGTCCAATTATGATTTTTTGTTGATTTAGAAAGCATTAATTTGTATAAAATCAACGTTTGTGAAACATTTAATAAAATGCGCACTACTGCCCTACCAGTGGGGCAAAAGTACGCAGTACTTAATCAATAATTTAAAGAAAAATGCCATGATTTTTCAAATAGCTATTCATACGAGATTGTGGCCAAATAGTCAAGGGATTGACTCATGGTTAAAAACTAAAATTTAATGTTAAGGTAAAAAAGATACATGCATTTTAGAACTAAGTGCTCCATTTTACTTTAAGCTTACAAAAGAATATTCTACCGACTACGTAAACAAATCAATGTTTTGTCGTTTTAGTAAAAATTTGTTAACAAATTAGCAGCTCGTGACCAAAACAATGTTTGCCAATATTCATGATACTGCGTGAATTTTACGAACTCCTTTGAAAAGCCTTCCATCGGGTAAAATACGGTATACATTAATTTTCAATCTGTTGATTAACTTACTTCTACATGGGGGAAGCCATGAATTCATAAATCCTATCTTCTCCACAATTCTTATAGCCATGTCGTAGAACCAGACCAAAACATCAACATTATCTTCTAGTCGAATACAAAAAAAAAAAAAAAAAATGTCGCAACAACCCAGTACCGCACAGAATCGCTGCTGCTTACCTTCTTTTTATGTTTGCATCCGTTTGGCGATGCCGTTAGTCTTACAACATCCTTCCGTTTTTACGAGTGTTTCCCTTCATAAATATTCATTAACTGTTGTAGAACGGCGAAAGAGCTCACGTGTACCGTCACCATCGAGCGTACCACCGTTCACAACGGGGACATCAGCAACGGTGGCAGTCCGCCGCGCAAATCTTGCCCGGAAACGGTTTTCCGAATTGGCGAACATGGTGGAACAAGCACCGAGCGGAAAAATGCTAATAAATTTGTAATGATTTTATGGCTGAAAGATAAGTGGTTTTATGGGATGCTTCCCTCGGACCCGACGAGAAAAGCGAGAAAAGTGTGAAAACGGTGCCTATTTGCATTTGCTGTGATCGGAGCTTTTAAATGAAGGATTTAAGAGCTTAACTTTGGTTTTTATTCTGTGTTCTTCTGTTATATTAATTGTTTTCCATTTTGTTTTGTTTGCATTGTTCGCATTGTGGTTGTATTTTGTTTGTGTTGTCTTCAACTGTTTTTCTTTTCATTTGTATAAAGTTCAATGATTTTTTTTAAATATTTCGTTTCTTTTTCGTTCTGTAATTAGTGGTTTTGTGTTGCTTTTACGCTTTCCTGATTTGTGATGTTGGTTTGTACTTACTCTGTTATTCCATTCCTTTTTGCACTCTCATCGTATCGTTCAGTAAGTTTTCTCACTGTGGGAGTGAGAACAGTGCATATTCGCTTCTTTCTGTTGTTGAGAAGGGTTTGGGTGGATGGGGATATGCATTCAAACAAGTGCTCTCACCTACCACGCAATGCTGCTCCTTTGTTATGATACTCTTCTATCGCGTTCCACGTGCTTTCCAACTGAACCGCATGGGTTCGTAACCATCAACATTGTCCTGACTCAGGACGAACCGCTCTTTCCCTCTCTTGCAGTTGCTCTCGATTCCATATGGATCTACAGCTCACTCTCGCTTCTTTCCGTGTTGGTTGGCATAAAACATATCGCACTGCCGGCGGTTCCATTCAGTCTACTGCCGACCGTCGTGACGTTCAGAAGTTACCCAATTCCCGTTTCTAATCCACATAGTAATAAGCATATCAATTCCGTGACGACGGCAACACGAAGACATCGCAGCGAATCAGGAAACCGATCCATATCACGTGAAATTGACGCGACAGTGTAACATTAATAATATCAGTGCAAACGACCGTGTAATTCAGCAACTTCCGGCGGCCACAGTTTATTACACGTGCTATTTGAAAGGGGAAGAATCCTAACGTCATCATAATAATCATCGTAATCCCCCAGCAACGGCATAATCACGCCTAATTTAACGTGTGCACTTAAAGTGGCGGCCCCTGTGAGTTATATTGTGAGCTATTTTCTGTGATTAGTGTGAGGATTTCATCACTTACCGGGAGAGTGAAGAAGGTTTAATTCAATTGTGCGGATAAGTGGTCCCCGCTATAGCTATTGGCAGTATCATCTTGGTGTGGTGTTTAGTCGCTGCGGTGCGTGGATAATAAAATATGAGTTCAACGAGGCTGGTAATGCTATCGGCGGGGCTGATCGCTGCCGTTATGTTGCTTAATTGGCCCCAGCCGGCCGCCGCCAACGACAGTCAGAACCTGAACCGGCTGCTCAACAACCAGGTCATCGTCAGCCGGCAGATTATGTGCGTCCTGGAGAAGAGCCCTTGCGATCAGCTGGGACGACAGTTGAAAGGTGGGTCGATGTGTTTGGGTTTTTTTTTTATTGGATTGGGAGGATGTACATTTTATAGTGCTGAGTGCTTTTTAGGGGGGGTTATATAAAGCGCTAAGTGAATTATTCATCAGCAGGTGTACCGAAGGGATGGGACGGATTTTAGCGAAAATGAATCGATGAAAACTAGGTTGAGTGCATGCTGAAGTGTGTTTGTTGGAAACAGAATGTGATTCAATTAGTTGGCAAAATGGTAGTGAAATGGAAATTGTTTCAATTGACAGGGATAATTAATGAAGATAAATTGTTGAACTGACGCCCCATTTATACCTACCCAAGTATCACAAATTCATAGACATATGTTGAGTAAACTGCAATACAACCAAAACCAATCACACAAAGGTTATATAAACTGAATCTTGATTAATGTGGGCGTCTTAGTGGAATACCAGTATAAAGAAGGAGAGAGAGGAATTAGTAATTTCCATGTAATTCCTCTATCTGAATTGCTTATCCTTGAAAAATACGCGTATTTTTATCATAAAATTTTACGTGAAGTATCGATAACTGTCATTTTATCATGTTTTTGAGGAATGTTACTTGCACGCCTTGGTGGCGAACCCGGCGTAGAGGTTAGCATCCAAAGTTACGCATCCATACCTCTCTGCCCCGCACAAGGCACGAATGACCCGAGAGCGTTGAAGTAACTAAATAATAATAATAATTAAATGAAAAAAAAAACTTGACCGCCTTTCCTTCTAACCCCTCAATTATTTACAAATTGAGGACTAGTTATTCCGGATTGTTGTCCAATCTGAGACAACGGTCTTGGGTTGGTGGCATCTTCCATTGGTTCTGGGTCGTTAAGTCAAATGCCATTTCCTCATCGTGTGTATTGTGAAAATTGTCGTCGCCGTCGTTGGTGCTGGGATTGAATGGTTACAACAACAACTCGATTATAAGTGGTGTGATGTGATATGCGCGTATTTCGTTTACTATTTGCAGACTTCATCAGTCTAAGTACTCACCACTGAAGAATCCATGTTTTATCTACGACTTATATACTAATCAATAGGTACTATGAATCAGCAGGTATCCAGCTGCCATGTCACATTTACCTACACGCTATTTCAAAACTACTCAAATTTGAGTAGAATCCACCGAGATCGGTCAAAACTGAACCTACTAAAAATGAGTAAACTATGTTGGGAGTGACCAGTTGACAAATGAACAACGTCGATTGGATTCATGTCGATGTTGTCCATTTGTCAAGATCTTCCTAAAGGGATTCCGTTAAGAGGTTCGACAAAACAAAAAGGTTGGATTTGTTATCGCAGTTTTCTTGATATTCACGTCAGAAGTTCTATGAAGCTCTCTTGTCTAAATTTCTAAGGAATTTTGGTCATAAATCCCTTGCACAGTAGAAAGTTGTTGAGTATGACATCCAAACAGCTGCACATAGGTCATTCCATAGGTTATGATTTACTACGTAGTACTCCAAGTAGCACACATCTATCACAAAAAGTTGCAGCACCTTCATTGTGATTAAAATAAGTTTTGTAGCGGTCCTTAGCTCAGTCGGTAAAGGCGCAGCTATAAAGCAAGACCAGTAGCTGCGTTCGATTCCCGGTCCGAACTAGGAATTTTTCGGGTTGTAAAATTTTCTCAACTTTCCTGGGCAATAGAGTAGGATTGTATTTGCTACAAAATTATACTAATGCAAAAATGGGTCACGCATTGAAAGATCTCAATTAATAACTGTGGAAGTGCATCTAGAACACTAAGTTGCGAGCACGCAATAAGCTAATATGCAATAAGCTTGAAATGCGAAGAAGAAGAATTGTTATTATGAAGAAGAAGAAGTAGAAGAATCAGTGAATTTCGTTTACCTATATTTCAATATTTTACTACCATGTGGAATTAATCATTTTATTCAACCATTTTCCACAGAGATGGCGCTGTTCCCCGGGTAGGAAGTTATAAAAATCCCCATATACAAATTGAGAGAAGTGGGAATAATTCGCTTTCGGTGCATATTCAGGTGAAAAAAAGTGAACGACAACCTAAATAAATTTATTAGGGACTTTGTCGTTCAGTTTTTTCCCGGAAATTATAGTTAATCAAGCTACAATTAATTAAAAATGATTTTTCCCCATACAATTTTACCCGCTTTACTACCAGTCCCCAGAGAGCCAAAAAAATTCAAATTTGAGAGAGAAATTCTCTCTTACGAGCTCAATCTCTCAAAATGCCATGTATTTTTTTGACACTCGATTTGTGATTTCCCTTTCACAGATTACAAAATAGAGTACCTGACACTACAAAACATGTCTGGTACCTCTATATATGCATTTGCTTTAACATTTGAAGTCCCTCCTTTTTTACATATTCTGCGCAAAAGATACTTTATGCCCCACCCCATACATAAAATTCAGCGGGAAATTCTGTGAGGGGTGAGCTATTTTGTGGGCAGAATGTGTAAACAAGGAGGGACTTCGAATGTTAATCTAAATGCATATATAGAGGTACCAGACATGTTTTGCACTGCAGTGTCCTCTGTGAACAATTATAGGAAAACAAATTGTGTCTAGTTTCCGATAGATGTCACCGCAAACAACAGCAGTGACATCTGATGGAACATGAATGCAGAAGCTTGACAAAATGATCAATTGTCATTTAAACTGCCTCAAAAATCATTAGAAATTTCCTGAGCTTCTTCTTAAAATCCCAACGAAGATCTCATAACTATCACGGTCATTTAATCATAATACCCTTGAAATACTCCATAGAACTCGCACGAAGCTCTTTTCGCAGAAACCCATATAATTCTTTGAAATTATGCCCATTGCATGTCGCCTTGTTATGTTTGGTGTGGCCACTTATAATTTTTGACGCCAACTGCTCGTTTGACACTAACATTTCATTTAGTTGTGAACATGCGTACATCATCTACCTTTCCATCGCCATGTTGGGAAATTAATCGCTCAGGATTATGCAGTAATGCATGCAGCATTGATTCATCAGACTAGAATTTTATTCAAAGTGCTTTTTCCTCCTCAATCGGATATTGAATGGGATTCGCATCGGTGCTTTCACGGTTTCATGCTTCCATATCTAAAGTTGAACTTGATGGTATTTTTTACTTCACACATTTCCAAACGGCAACGACTAAATCGACCGAGCTGCTGGCAATGAACAAAACCGAGAATCGAGACAAGTGCCGCCAGGGATGGAAAATCATTTACATTCATTTCGTGCATTCATTTACATTCATTTGCCTCTAAATTTTTTCATCAACAGAATACCGTAAAATGATGTATGGAACTTTTGTAGCTTTTAATAGTAACTCCAACTTTTGTTAAAAACTAAAATCTGAATCTCTTATGCATGACGAACTAGAGCTGGCAGAACATGTTATTGTTTTTCAGTGAATGAAATTTACATTCACTGAAAAACAATGGTGGGTTCTTATTGTTCTGATTCATCATGCATAAGAGATACGGATTTAAATTGTATACAAAAGATGTAGCAAATATCAAAGCCTACAAAAGCTTCAAAGATTATTTTACGAAATTCTGTTGATGAAAAAAATTAGAGGCAAATGAATGCCAATGAATGCAGGAAATGAATGTAAATGATTTTCCATCCCTGAGTGCCGCTATCAAATGTATTCACACTATCCGAACAACCTAAGTAACCAACAAGCCGGATAATTCACCTTTTTGCGGCTTAGATTGGATAAAATAAAGCTAGGGAGCCTATTTCGCTTTCAGAAGGTCACAATTAGCAATTTTATGATCACTGAGAAATCACGATGAATGAGCAATCAGTGATCAAAAAATAGCTAATTGTGACCCTCTGAAAGTGAAGTTGGCAGTTTTTATGTGTCCCACACAAACTTTATCTCCTCTTCTTGCATCTTGCTATTTAAATAACTTTGCCGAAGACAAGAACCGTGCGTGCTGCCAAGTTAAAGCAAACAGTTTGAAATTACATGGTACACTAGCGTCACATGGCTAGTGAATACAGTTGCCGAAGACCACCTGGTGGTTGGCTTATGAACTGGACTGTTTACAATTTAATAAGGCTACAAACATAGAAATAACCAAATTTTACACGTAACGGAATCTATCTTTGACATAAAGGATGAGACGTAGACAAACAAGTCATGTAAAATTGAGTGATCTGAGACTGAAAAGTTCGTTAGTCGACGAAAAGTACGTTTGATTGAGCTGAGTTTTGCGTTTGTTATCAATGTTATTTGTATAAGGTCCGGGCCAACAGACTCAACGGTGTTATTGAAATGTGCAAATGTTTAGTGGTGTTCGTGTTTCAATGCAATGTTTATCTTTAACACGAAACAGCTGTTGGCAGTGACGTTAATCTCACTGTTCATAGTATGGAATGTTATGGTAGAGTGATAACGTCACTTGAATGCTCAGCAATGTTTATAATATGTTTGCTTCTTTCACTTGCACGCTGCCTGTTGGCCTGAACCTTATAAAAAACATCATTGGTCAGTTATGACTCAATTTTATGTCAAAATTGACTCTTGTATATGACAGTCTCAGAGCATCTAAATTAACATAATTTTTTTTTTCTAAGTGTGTAGTTTATCTGAACATCTGAACACATCTGAATTATTTATAGTCTGGCAGATACAAAATCCTGCAAACTGGCAACTTTGATTTTTTCAGTAATAATCTTGCACCCCGTGAAAATGCTCAAGCGTTTGCAGAACATAATTTTAGGCGGAATAGGAGGAAATGCAGTGGAGTCACGTGAGAAAATTCACTAGTTGTGCACCTATTTTATTTATATTTTGTCTGTAACAGTAGAAGCCATTTTTGATGCATAATAAAAAAAATGGGATACAAATCTTTCGACGGGGGTACCTGCATAAAAAATAAACGAAATGATGATGGGAAACAGTTCTGCTACCAGTTTTGCTTACTCTTGCATAGAAACATTGATTTTCTTTTTAAGTCTCATGTTTATGATATTTGTCATCGTTACTCACC